CCGGTCGCCCCCCCTCAGGGGCCGCAGCCCCCCTACCTGGCCAGGTTGACGCCCATGGCGATGTTGCGGTCGCAGCGGTAGGTGTCGAAGCCCTCGGAGCGCAGCGTGAGCTGCACCAGCGAGACGTGCGACGAGTCCATGCTCTGCAGGCTGATGCCGCCCGAGCCCAGGTCCCAGCAGGCCTCGGTGATCAGGTCCTTGAGCGCCTCCAGCACCCGCTTCAGCACCGAGCCCTGCACCAGCCGCGCCTCGAACATCCTGTCGCCGCGCTCAGCCGCTCCACAGAGACCCCCCGAGTGCCTCCACTGCGCGCCAACGGCCTCTTATAGCGCCGCTGCCCTCGCCTCCCGACCCCGCCCACTCGGCGCTCTCCACCAATCATACTCGAGTCACCGCCGGAAGCCCCGCCCTCAGGGCGCCTCGAACACCAATCAACGCCTCCATGATAACCGGTAGTCCTGCCCCTGAAGAAGGGCTCTCGGCTAATCCTAGAACAGCGGAAATCCCGCCCCATGCCTGTTGCTGGCCAATCATGACGTCGCCCTACGTCTCTTCATGAGCTAACACAAACATAGGAGCGTCGGCCCGTCGCTTACTGTATGCGATCAATCAACGCAGGGCTCTCACTGTCCTTACGCACGTGCCAATCACAGCGCTCCGCTCTTCTGTCCGCACAGCTTCGCCTTCCTCCGCTGGGGACCCAGCGTTCTGTTGGCAGTTGAGAAGGGATGGTGGGGGTGTCCAGGGCGCTGATAAGTGGAATGTGAGGACTCCCAAGATTCCCAGACAGAACACAGAGGACCCACGGGTTCTGTGGAAGTGGCTAGATGGAATGTTGGGTCCTCCAATGTTCCACTGGCTTAGCTGGATGGAATGTGTGTGGAGAAGGTGGCTCTTCGTGCTGGGACATTCAGGGAGTTGTAGGCCTTAGCCTGCTGGGTGGAACATCAGGGCTCTAGGTCCGTTGCAAATATGTATGTTTGCTGCTGAATGGAACAGTGGGCTCCTGTGGGTTCTGGGATCCTGGTACATTCCTCGGGAGGTATAGGCTGTTACGAGGAAGCTGGGGCCCCAGGTTTATTTGGTGGCAATGAGTGGAATTTGCGGAGGCAGACTGGAATGTTGGGGTTCTGGAGTTCCATGAGCATCATGGGAAGGGCCAATGCGGAATACTGGAATTCTGAAGGTTCTATGGCAATGTGATGTTCCGATGGCCTGAATGACGATTTCCTGAAGGCTGCCAGCTGGGTTGTTGTATAGGTCAAGCTGTTGAGTTTGCCAACTTGCAACAATTTTGGTGGGTTATGTGGTGATGTAACTGATTTGTAGCCTCTGAGGATCTTTCCGGTATCCACAATGCTATACTCTGTAGCAGAGGTGGGCAAAAGCTGCTTTCCCTGCCCCCAGGCCAATTAGGACCTGGGAGTGAGGGAGCATGCAAAGCCTTCTCCACTCTGCCTCCACCCTGTGACCAGCGTGGTTCAAGATGGATGTTGAAAAACTGGAAAGGATTCAGAGAAGACCCATGAGATGAAAGGATTGGAAATCATGCCTTGGAATGATTCAAAGAGCTCAATCTGTTTAACTTAATAAAGAGGTGACTTGATTATAATCAACAAGTCCTTACATGGGGAACAAATAGTTGATAAGGGGGCCCTTCAATCTAGCAGAGAAATGTCAGTGGTTAGAAGTTGAAGTGACAAATTAAGACAGGAAATGAGGCATATATTTTTAACAGTGAGAGTAATTAACTACTGAAACCATTTACCAAGGGTTATGGTGCATGTTAGCCGGGGGGGGGAAGCGGAGGGTGTGTTACAGAAGACCCCTTGGGGTTGCTTCTCAGTGTGCTAATAAAGCTACTGACACTGGCCGCCTTGCTCTCTGGGGTTTCTCACAACCCTGTCTCGCTGGGCTAGATCTCCTGGTCTCCAGCTAAGACACAGAGTTGAGATCAGCTTCCCTGCCAAAAGAGCAATGCAGACATTGAATGACTTCAGCTCTGAGGAGAATGCAATTTCAGACACAGCATCCAGGAAACCAACCAATCCCCAAAGGGTATCAGAACTGCAAATAAATCATTCAGGCAAGCCCCTTCTAACAATGAAAGAAGGATGTACACACTGATTGTTCCCAGGTAACAATTATTTACACTAGGTTTGATAGTAAAAAAAGTAATTTTATTAAGTATAAACAGTAGGAATTATGTGGTTGCAAGTGAAAACAGAACAAGTAAATTACAAATTTACAAAAAGCACAGCTAATTCTAACACTAAAGTTTATTGCATACTTACCCTAAAACTTGTTATTTCTGCTAAACTTCCAAGTCAGGGAAGTTCTCTTTCTTCTGTGATGTCTGGCCAGCTAGCCAAAGACAAAGAGCCTAAAAACTTTTGCATCTTAAATAGACTTCCTTTTGAGCAGGAATTCTATTTCTATATTCCCCCCTCCAATGGAAAATTACCTGGTCCCAGTTGGTGTGGTTACATGTCTTTCTAGGACCAATCACTGCTGAGAGACTTAAAGGATGAAGGAGGCTGTTTACAGGTGATCACACAGACATTAAGGTTTCATTTGCACATTTAAAACCATTAACCTACCCCATTCCCTACCACATATCGCTAACTTTACATACAAGATATATGGATCCAGCAGATTGTGACATTAAAATTGACAGGTTACATGAAGTATTTTGTCCAAAGCATCTTCGAGTTATGCATATTTGTATCCATAAGACAGTTTCATAAAGTATTGTGGGACAGGGGAAACCATCACAGTGCATACTCCAGTCACGGACAATTTTTAAATCAAGGTTGGATGTTTTCTTGAAAGAGCTGCCCTAGTAATTATTGTGGGGAAGTTCTCTGGCCTGTGCTATATGAGAGGCCAGACTAGATGATCACACTGGTCCATTGTGGCCTGGGAATCTGTCCTCAGGACTAACCTGAGGAAGTTCAGAGCCTGAGACAACCTCCCATCACAGTTCCAGGCATGGAATCTGGGGACCCCTCCCACTACTGAAGGCCCTGCCCTGTCCTACCTTCACTCCACTCCTCCCCCAATACCCATACCGGGTCCACACATTGGCACCTTCACCCAAGCAACATGGCCTGGGGGATTACAGGGGCCTAGTGTGGTGGCAGCAGGATTTCTTTCTCCCCTACTGACCACGTGGCAGCAGGAGCCAGAGCAGCCTGGCAGCCTGCTGTGCTCTGCCGCCCTCGCCTGCTGCGTCCCACTTCTCTGTGGTGGCAGGAAACAGCATGCCGTGGGTCCAGAGCGCTCTGCTTCCCGCTGCCACTGAGAAACTGCACAGCAGGCTGGGAAAGGGTGGCATGGTGGGGTGTGGTGGAGCAGGCTTCCAGGCTGTTCTGCTTTCCACTGGCCACATGGTATCTGTGGCTGACTCCTGATGCCACCCCTGTACCAGGCCACTTACATCCATAGGACAATTGGGGTGGCTGCTGTGGGGCCCCCAAAAACACTGTGCTCATACCCCAAACCGTGGCTTGCGTGTCTGCACAGGATCCAACCCTGTCTGGGCAGGTTAGGAAAGGTTATGATGGACATAGAGCCTCAGACCTCTTGTCTGTTTTGCATAGCACCAGGGATTCTATGGCACTTTGTGTGGGGACAAGGAGAAATCTTTAGCTGGGAAGGATGTCCATTTCCTGGGGAGGGGCCAGGAGGCAGCACATTGTAGCAGAGGTGCTGGAATAATTTGTACACTAGGGTTACGTCTATACTACAGGCTTTTTGTGCAAGAATTGTTTTGCACAAGAGTTCTTGTGCAAAAGGTCTTGTGCGAGCAAGTGTCCACACTGCCATGTGCTTTTGCACAAGAGCATCCATTTTAGCCATAGGGCTTTCTTGCGCAAGAAACCCCTGTTGCCTGTCCACACTGCCTTTTTGTGGAAGTGCTCTTGCGCAAGAGGGCTTATTCCTCCTGGGGATTGGAATAACTCTTGTGCAAGAAGCCCTGTTTTCCAACGCTTTACTGTAAATTTACTTGCGCAAGAACGCGCATGCAGTATAGACGCTCTGCAAGTTATTGCACAAGAACATCTGTTCTTGCACAAAAAGCCTGCAGTGTACAAATAGCCTAGGACCGGGGTCATCAACCGGTCGATCGCGATCGACTGGTTGATCACAGGGCCTCGACCAGTTGATCGTGAGGTGTTCGTCCCCCCTCCATTTTCCCCCTACTACCTACCTCCAGCGTAGTGCCAGTTTCCTGCAGGGTGGACGGAAGTCCTGCCTGCAGCTTTGCACTACTTCCGGGGGTTCCAGAAGTGTGCTGGCTGCTCCCCTCCACAGCTCTGTAGCATACTGGGCACACTGTGAGAGGGGGCGTTAGCCCCGGAGGAGGAGTGTGGCGGCTTCCCTGCGCCGCAGGAGGGGTGAGTCGAGCGCAGGGGTTTCCTGGTGCCGCAGGAGTGGGAGTTGGCCCTGGGGTTTGGCCCCGGGGCAGGCACCCACGGGTGTTTGGCTGCACCACGGAAGGGGGGTTTGGCCCCAAGGGCAGGCGCGCGTGGGGGTTTGGCTGCGCCATGGGAGGCATGCATTGCCCCGTAGGAGGCATGTACCGGCTTCCCTCTGGGGGGGAGCGAGAGAATCCTGGGAGGAGGCGGGTGCAGGGGACTCTCTGCCCCCACTCCCCCCCTGTTCCCTCTCCCCGCTCCTCTGTTCCCTCTCCCCACTCTCCAGCCTCAGAAACCTGTCCCCACTGGCACCCTCTCCCCTGCCCTTCCGGCATCCTCTCCCCACTCCTCAGTTCCCTCTCCCCACTCCCCAGCCTCAGAAACCTGTCCCTACTGGCACCCTGTCCCCTGCCGAAGCACCCACTAGCACCCTTTCCCAGTACTATGTCCCCTGCTCCCACCAACACGGTTGGGGCCACATTAGTGAAACTTTGGGGGGGGGGGTTTGCATCTCACTTGTGTGGCCCCAACTGACTTTTCTGTGGGCCAGTGACCCCTGACTCAAAACAAGTTCCCTGCCCTTCTCAGAAATAAAGACAATGCAGAAACTTTTTGTGTTTGACATAGTATTTTATTTAAAAATGAAGCCTGTCCAACAAACCCCCAGTTGGGGCCAAGCCCCCATCTGGCCACAGCATCATAACACTCCCCTTTCCCCCAGACCCTGCATCTGAGCCTATCATACACTGGAACCCCCTGCTCTGAGCCCCTCACATACCCCAACCCAAATTCCTGAAATCTCATATCCAGAAGTCTGTGGCTTGCTTAGTACCCTAACCCTAACCCCACATGGGTGCGCGTTGTCCTTCCATCTGCCATCAGGTGCCCCCCATCGGTTGGCGCCCTGGGCAGCTGCCTGGCTCGTCCATGCCTCCATCCGGCCTTGACTAGCACCCTTCCCC